AAAAATAAAATAGACAGACTGCATCACAAAAGTAGTATAAGCTAAAAAACCTCTTAATATATTAACAAAACTCTGTGTGATTTTCTTGTTATAATAAGAAATATAAAGGAACTACATGTATATGTATTAATGTTGAATTAAAAACTCCAAAAAGTAGGATGGTGACAACAAAAACTTTTTTTCATGAATTTGTTTTAATCATGGTTCTCTTTAATCATGCAAAGTTAAGAAAATTTTCAGATGAACAGAAGACAGAAGAACAGGGTACTTGAGTATTATCAGTACTTGAAAGCAAAACTAGAGCCTGAGCAATGTAGAGTTTTCAAAATGGGCCATAATTCTGTCAAAAGGTATAAGCCTTTAAAAGTGACCTCCTATTATGCTCTCAAATAAGTGTGTGAAGTTTCAACCAATTCCATTCAGTAAAATTGGAGATATCAAATGCCAGCAAAAAGTAAACTAAAGTGTGACGGCAATGCCAACACTGACGACTGTGTGATTACAATAGCTCTCCCCTTTCTTTTAAAAGTCGAACTTAGAATTGCAGTTCTCACAGAAACATCTTTAAGTAATAGCATTGACAACATGCAAAAACTTCTACTAATCTGTTAATCTGAAGATCTCAGAGCTTTCTTCTGCCGGGTTTATTATATGGGTTTTGAACAATTATCATACAAAGCTTGATTAAAAAAAATGATTACATACAAATATCCCATGTGTTACTTACCTAACTGACCATGCCACAAGACCCAAGGAATAAACTTTACCATCTTTTTGTCCAGAAAAAGAGTATGGTCCTGTCACATACAACCTGAATAACAATCAATGTAACAAGAGCTGTCACAGGAAGACAGCCAAGCTCGACTAATAAAATACTGACGCAGTAGAGGAGGACAAAACTATGAAAGAAAAATTCAATTATGTATAATATTTTTTTAAGTTATAGTAAAAAAAATAACATTGTTAACATAAATTCCAAACATCAAAGGGGAATAATTCTAGAAATAGTCTCGCTAGAGTTATGAACCTGTCACACAACATGTGTGTAATGATAAGAATATATATTTTGAAGTTTGAAGTAGATACAAAAGTACCTTAAAAAAGTAAAAAGTTATAATATTTCTTAATGAAAATCCTAAGTTCAAAGAGAGATAAATCTGTAAATATTGCTTCAAGAGTTATGAACATTGTCACATGAAATGTAATTGATGATAAGTGAATAAGTATTTGAAGTTTGAGGTAGATACCTTTAAAACCAAAAAAGTCATAGTAAAAAATAACATTTTTTCTAGTAAAAAATCTTAGTTTATGGGGAGATAATTCTTGAAATATTAGTGCTGGAGTAATTGAACCTTGTCACTTAAGATGTGGATGATGATGATGAAAGGTACATATATTTGAAGTATGAAGTATGAAATTGATCCCTTAAGAAATAAAGAAGTAACAGTAAAAAATAGAATTTTTTAAGGAAAATTCTAAGTTTAAGGGGAGATTAATCTGAAAATATTAGTGCTAGAGTTATGAACCTTGTCACATAAGATGTGGATGGAGATTTTATAAGGTAGATATATTTGAAGTATGAAGTTGATCCCTTAGGAAATAAAGAAGTAACAGTAAAAAAAAGTATTTTTTCAGGAAAATTCTAAGTTCAAGGGGAGATAAACCCAAAAATATTGGTGCTAGAGTTATGAACCTTATCACATAAGACCTGGTTGATGATAAGGAACATATATTTGAAGTTTGAAGTTGATACCTTAAGAAATGACAAAGTTATAGTGAAAAATATTTTACTGCACCAAAACTTTAATCTGAAATCTGGACGCGGACGCCGGCGAGTAGGAAAGCTCTCCATATACTTTGTATAGTCTAACAAGGGTTAACCCTTTCCCTGCCTGCAAGTTTGATATATGCCTTCCACTCATATTAATACATTTTGTATGTACCAATATAACTTTAAGCTGATTGAAATGAAATTTTCACAATTTTTGAATAAGTTTTAAGATCTATTGAAGAATTTTTCAACACTTTTGTTAATTTGGAGCACACATTTATTTAGCCTCCATTTTAGGGGGGAAAACCAAATCACTGCTGACTTAATCAATGATAAAATAACCCTTATAAACATACCTTGCTAATGTTGTCTGGAAGTCCCTCCACTCTTTGTATGTTGAAAACTTTGCTGTAATAATAAATAGAGAACTATGATATATAAATTTAACTTTTTGAAGGAGTTGGGTTTTTATTATTTAGGGGGCGCTCTGACAATTATGTGTTTTTTGTGGTCCAGTCAAGTTTATTAATTTAAGATCAAAGAGGAAATCGTTTTCTTGCGCAGAAAGGCATTTTATTGTCAGAGGAAGTCACTTTAGGTACCTCTCTGTGTATATACATGTACAGGATACAAGATCACACCTTCAGTAGAATCACCACCAACCTTCTGTAAGCCAGCCAGAATACTTCCACACATGAAAAATCTAAAACTCAACTGGCGGATTTTGGCATGTTTAATGTGTTGGACTAGTCATCTAAGGATTGCTGGCCCCGTGGTTTCAAACCCTGGCAAGCCGTTGTTTCCATGAGCAAAAAATTTAAAACTCATTGCATAGTACTGTTTGGTTCCAGAAACAGATTTGAGAGAGTTTCAATATTAAGCTTTTAGCTTCCAACACACAACCAAACTAAAATAAATTAATATAAACTAACTGGAATTTTAACCCAAATTGATCAGTGGTATGTAAAAGATTTCTCATGACATAATTTCACTAGAAGAATTCTATAAGACCTAGTCTTTCGTTCTAATCCTCTTCTTCGAATATTGTCAAATTTTGTATGTGTATATATTTCAAATGTTATTATGTACATATTCTGAGAATAAATATGTTTAAACTATTGGAATTTAGAAAACATTATGAAACAACTCAAAGATATATTTGATCTTTTTTAAAGTTATCCTTAAATGCACAAAATGCCTCAGAAACTAATAACATTTGCCTTCTTTAGAAAAGACACACATGTATTTTATAACATGTAAGGTTTTAGAGCATGTTAGATGCTTATCATTTGAAGAAAGTAGCACTGAATGTGAAATTATTTGTTATAAAAGAAGTCAAATATAATCAAGGTAGTACAAATATATTTTGTCTTCCATTCAAAATCCTGAATCTTTACAATAGTACTAGTTGTTTAAAGGCAACAGAAGCAAAACAAGAACTGTCGGAGGACAGTAACGCTCGACTATTCGAAAATTTGTCACAAGGGTGTTTCATTGAGTATAATAATGCTTACCTATATGAATACATAAAATTGTCCGAAAAGGTACAAACTCTTCAAGTTTCAATACATTCCCTTCAGTAGTTATGGAGATACAAGCTTACATTCAAAAAACTTAACCAAGAATTCATGAGTCGAAAAGGGGCATAATTATGCAAAAAAGCAATCAGAGTAATGGGACTTGTACCAATCATCTTAGATAATCACAGAGACCAAGTGTGTGAAGTTTCAATCCATTCCCTCTAGTAGTAATGGAGATACCAGCTTACACGCAAAAACTTAACCAAGAATTTCTAAGTCGAAAAAGGGGCATAATTATTTTAAAAAGCAAATTAGAGTTATGGGACTTGTGCCAATCATCTTAGATAATCACAGAGAACAAGTGTGTGAAGTTTCATTCAATTCCCTTCAGTAGTTATGGAGATACCAGCTTACATGCAAAAACTTAACCAAGAATTTCTAAGTCGAAAAAGGGGCATAATTATGAAAAAAAGCAAATCAGAGTTATGGGACTTGTGCCAATTATCTTAGATAATCACAGAGAACAAGTGTGTGGAGTTTCAATCCATTCCCTTCAGTAGTTATGGAGATACCAGCTTACACGCAAAAACTTAACCAAGAATTTCTAAGTCGAAAAAGGGGCACAATTATGTAAAAAAGCAAATCAGAGTTATGGGACTTGTGCCAATCATCTTATATAATCACAGAGAACAAGTGTGTGAAGTTTCAATCAATTCCCTTCAGTAGTTATGGAGATACCAGCTTACATACAAAAACTTAACCAAGAATTTCTAAGTCGAAAAAGGGGCATAATTATGAAAAAAAGCAAACCAGAGTTATGGGACTTGAGCCAATCATCTTAGATAATCACAGAGAACAAGTGTGTGAAATTTCAATCCATTCCCTTCAGTAGTTAAGGAGATACCAGCTTACATACAAAAACTTAACCAAGAATTTCTAAGTTGAAAAAGGGGCATAATTATGTAAAAAAGCAAATCAGAGTTATGGGACTTGTGCCAAGCATCTTAGATAATCACAGAGAACAAGTGTGTGAAATTTCAATCCATTCCCTTCAGTAGTTAAGGAGATACCAGCTTACATACAAAAACTTAATCAAGAATTTCTAAGTCGAAAAAGGGGCATAATTATGAAAAAAAGCAAATCAGAGTTATGGGACTTGTGCCAATCATCTTAGATAATCACAGAGAACAAGTGTGTGAAGTTTCAATCCATTCCCTTCAGTAGTTATAGAGATACCAGCTTACATACAAAAACTTAACCACAGGGACGCCGACGCCGACAAATGGGTGACTGCATTAGCTCGATTATTCTGCGAATAGTCGAGCTAAAAATGATGCTGGCAATTTGCCAATGAGTTACTTTTTGGAAACAAATTCAAAACATCAAAAATAAAAAGCTTTTGAGAAATACAAATAAAAAGCAGTTCTGGGGTATAATGTTAAATAGCCTTAAAGCAAAATGTAATGAAATTAAAGCTTTGTAAAACAACTTTTTTCCCCAATGATTTGTAAAACTGAATAATTTGTCTGGATGGATATAAACCTATCTGACCCACTTTCGTTTAAGCATTAATTATCCTTATGTCTATGCTATTCTTTTTCAAATTTGTTTAGAACTTAAGTTCACTATTCATCCAAAAGTAACTGGACTGATTAGAGATTTCCCTAATATGTCAAATAATGAAATGATGAAGCATGTTTTTGAACAACTTCTGCGTTTGGTCTTAAATTTTATTTGCCATTTTTCAACTGACCGAGTGACCAACCATAACACTGTTTATCTCAGAAAAAATTTATGACTTCTCTTTGTCCTGCAAATGATCAGATGAGACAAATATACATATATTATGTACAAATTTAAGGAAACATCTGCCCCGGGTGTAATATTTTGGGAAAGAAAACTAAAACAGCAAAACTTACTGAAAGCTTTCACCTTCCACTGAAGGTCTACCACATTGCCCATATGCATTGTTACCTTGTGAGAACACTGTAACGATACAAATATATACATGTATATAATGAAGAAAACATAATTAACTTTATGAATATCAGTGACAACAAGTTGCTAGGACCAAGTGATTTTAAGCTGGTGACCTAAATAACGCATCCCTAACTCTACAGAAATATAAAGAACTGTAAATCTGGAATGCATAGAAGACCTTTTCTAAGGAAGAAGGTAAAAATACAACTCTTATCTATCAAACCTGCCACTTGATTCTTTTGTTATTTTCACATTTTGGAAAAATATTTCTTCCCACAGCTGATAAATTGAAACTTCCAGCATGTGCGGTCTTGCACCAATGAATTTCTCCAATATAGATAAAGTTTAATGTAAACACATGTAGTATCTATACACAAACCTCCAGCTTCAGTAAGAAAGACACTGTGGGCCCGCCCGGCTGCTACCTGTAGTACAGATCTATGGTTGTCCTGTGATATCCCTGGTATTTCTACCGGCACTGGCTCAATTATATAATCCAATACACGTCCTGGAAAATACAGATTTATAACTAATAACATTCTGTCCAATACTGATATTCATAAACTTACTTATGTGATAAAGTAGTACTTGTGTATCATTTCCTAAATTGACTGGTCCATATTTTTCATGCCAAATTTAAACACAATCATTGAAATCATTCAAAAGTTATTTTGTGGAAACCAATAATATCACTGAAAATTGACCTTAAAAGGGGCAAAACTGTCTTCAGCTAAAATAGAACTTAACCTGTGTTTACATACAACATTCTTACTTGCTAAAAAAAACCATAAACATTGAAATCCTTCAAAAGTTATCCACTTAGCCTGCATGCGGCAACAACTAAATTTACCCACACTACCAGTGCAGGCCTAGATCAGCCAGCTTGATAATATTGATTATTCTTCACTGTTCCGTAAAGAGAGTTCCCGATTTTTACAATATTTACCCCCCTTGTTAAAAGCGGTGGCCATTTTTGGGGTCAATATCCTATAAAATATAATTGACAAATAGGAAAACTTCAATACATGAATAAACGGCTGAATTTGGCCAATTGCCAAATTTTTTTATACATATGAAGAAAATTTTTGTTACATAACCATAATGTAAAAGACTTCTATCAGTTTTTATGACAATTATAGGCCAGGGGAGCATCTATTCATGTATTTTGAAATATTGAATTCCCTTCACACGATGAATGGTATTTTCCAAATTGAAAGATGGTCAAGTCAATTAATTAAGGATGGTAAGGGTTCAAGAAATATGTATTTCTCATATCAAAGTATAAACAAGTCATGTCATGAAAATAAAAATGACCTTGTATCTTAAAATATTTTCTACATACTGTAATTCACTTAATTTGTTGGCATGTTGCTTTTTTTTGTCAGAATGGATGTATGCATCATACACTTGAATTTTGTTTATTTGTGCAAAACAGTAAAATGCAAATACATTTAATAAAATGATAATTGTTGTACAGCAGATAAAATTAAATTTTGTTGGATCTTAAATTCACGGATTCTTCTATCCATGAAACACCATGAAAATTAGTGCCCATTGATAATAATGATTTGGCAATAGTTTTTCATTTTCCATACCTGTATTTTTAGGGAACTCATGATAGCCTAACTGTGAGTCTGTGTTTATTCCAGTGGCAAGAACCATGTGTCGTCGTCTTCTCTTTGCAGCAAACAGAGTAAAGCCATATCCACATGCCACATTGTAAACCTATTAAACAATAAATTTTTGTCATAACTTTCCTACGAAACAAACTCCTTGATATTAAATGACTTAATTTCTCTACAAAACATGCTAAGATTTAATGCCCTATTTCCCTATGAAACACACTCCATAAAATTTAATTACCTGTTTTCCTTTCTGGCAAACTCCTTAGCATTAAATGACTCAATTTCCCTATGAAACACAAACTGTAAATTTTAATTTCCTGATTTCCCTATGAAACACATTTTCTGCAATTGAATGTCCTCATTTAAAACAAACTCTCAAAACAAACTATCTAGCATTTAATGACGTAACTTCTCTATGAAACACACTAAGATTCAATGCCCTAATTTCATATAAAACTACTAAGCATTTAATAACTTCATTTTTTATGAAACACATTCCCTACAATTTAATGTCCTTATTTCCCTGTGAAACAATCTCTCTAGCATGAAATGTTTTAATTTCCCCATGAAACACACTCAGAAGATTCAATGCCCTAATTTCCCTATGAAACAAACTCTAACATTTAATGACTTGATTTCCCTATTAGACACACTCCCTAAGATATAATGCCCCAATTACTTCGTGAAACAAAATTTCTAGCATTAATGTAAATGACTTAATTTCCCTATGAAACAAACTCCTGAGTAGTTAATGACCTAATTTCCCTGTAAAACAAACTTCTTTTACTTTGGCCATATCTTGAAAAGTCAATGAAAAATAGCTTTGTTTCACTGGTCTCCCTTCTACCCACTTTCTTGACTGCTTACCTAATTTATGAAATAACTTGCTTTTCTACTTTTTCTACTTTTTCAAAATATCATCTTTGCAATATATAATTGTAAATACAAATGTATATGTAAAGTCATAAAAAAAGAAATTCCTACCTACCCTACAGCTTTTTATTTTGGGCCAGAGACCATAAACAGTATAATTTTTTTTGCCTAACTTGATCTTACCTGTATATCATTTTCATCCATAAATCTCAGTCTAGCCGGTCTATGTTGTATTCTTACAGGACTCTGACTACTGCGTTCTGGACGTAAATATGATCTCACACCTGAAAATATATAGAACAACATCCATTCATGTTATATTTTTTTGTATTTGTTGAGTAGTACGTAGGATTTCCATGTACACAACAGTTGCTGTAATGCAAGGAGGATCTAAAAGAAAGACATGCCTTTCCACCCCCACCCCCACCCCCCAAACTGTGACAGTGAAATAATAATAAGAAATTGACACAATTTGTGAAAATCAAATAAAAATATTTTTCTTAATTTGATAAAAAAAATTAATGTAAATACAATGTAACTTCATATACAAAATTAATATAATACAGTAATAAAGGCAACACTTTTAAATATACTTTTATTTTGTTGTAATACTGCAGAAATTATAATTGCAAGGGACATTTCTTCCCGTTAAGAAGCTGGCATTATGAAATTTTGAATGGGTTTTTTTTGGACAATTTTACTCACCTAAAGCACCTGCAGCAGCATGACCCCATACATAAACACGTTCAGCTGGCGTACCTTTCTCACTTTTTAGTTGAATCACCTCTTTCTTACGTCTTTCTCGAGCCTCATGACGTCTAGTAGATCCAGAGGCATTTCGTATTGACTGACATAATTTGCAAGGTTTAAACAAAAGATTTGGTCTGATAATAGATCCCATTAGCCTGAAAAACAAATAAACTATTCAGGGTTGTGGAAATCCTATGACAGACTTGTCCAACTCGAAACTTTATGCCTGCAGACAAGTAGATTTTTCCAACAATTGAAAATCTGAGTAAGTAGACAAAAATAGAATATTGTATTTCTACCTCATATCAATGGGGATCATTTATTTTAGAAAGTTATGAATTTTGTTAACTATGGGTAAATACACCTTTTCATATACGGATATATTGTATATATCATGTTAAAAATAAAAAATTAGCATTTAAATGAATTTTATCACATCATGTACACATCTGTCCGGGCACATGCTACTGAAGTGTTGAGAATTTAGGTAATTTTGATACCCTCCTTGACGAGCCTCAGATATAAGTGTCAATATAATCAGAAATTAACAAACTAGTTTGTTAGTTAGGACAGGGTCTTTCAAATAGAATGGTCTGGAGACAGACCAATTTTACGAAAAATGCTGTCTCGGTTGAGTCACGTGATTGGGTTATCTACCGACCGTGATATGGCATTCAAAAATCAAATTATAAAATAATGTTTTGTTAAATCAATAAAGAAAAAATACTAAAAACTAACTCTGACTACATTGTATTATCAGTTTTTACTTTAAAAGTAACAATTTTATAGATTTGCAATGAAATTAGAAATTTTCCGTTCCCAGTGTCAAGGTAAAAATCTACTGCTCATATTTGAAAATAGGTCCCAGTTTCATGAGTTTTTTGACATTCATGCATTGTTCAATGACAAAGTAGAAATTGATTTAGAGAGAAAAGATGTTATTAAATCGTATCATGTAAAAATATTATAATATTTCAAGAAGTTATTTGCAAATATTTGATGTTTAATTTGGTGCATTTTCAAAATGGCACCGATTATCGACAAATATTCTGCACAAACAATCTATGTTTTTTAACAAAGATGGCTTTAAAAAACATCATTTCCTGAAATATTTATCCTTTTTTCAAAAGTTTAAAGATTTTTAAATAACATTATGTCGTTAAAAATTTCATTTTGCTCTTGTATTTAATATTCGCCCTTTTCTTGAACACTTACATAATTTGCTTGTAGCAAACTATACCGATTTATACCGAGACATGTTTAATTGTAGCGAGAAGGGTTTACATAGCGCGTTTCAAGACCATTCTATTTGAAAGACCCTGGTTAGGAGAAGAACCTAAATGTACTGTGTCAAATTTTCAGGTCTCTAGGTTTGAAATTATGACATCTTTATGGAAAAATGTTCAAAAAGTGTCCGTTTGATGGTCCCCGACAAGTATGGACAAGATTAATTAAAACTATATATTTAAGGAGAAAACAAATAATTTAAAATTCTTTACTGCTAAAATCGACAAGCCAAAAAAGTATAAAAAAGGAAAAACCATCTTGTACCAAATTTGGATTCGGGCCGATTTAGCCCTCTCTGACAAGAGCACATTTTGACGCCCCGATTATATAGCGGCTGATTTTGACAGGCTGGCAATAATTAAAATTCATTTACTGGTCCGAGTAGTTCTGAGTACGAAAGGCCACACAGTTACGCATAAAAATAAGAAGAAAAAGACAATGAAAAAAAATGAAAACAGGCAATGAATCGATGAACAGAAGCCAATGATGATCCATGGAATGGTATATTGGTATCACACATTTAAAATATTGATTTCAGGACTTTACACCTCCTGGACGTTTCATCTTTGGTCTTTACACCTCCTGGATGTTTCACCTTTGGTCTTTACACCTCCTGGACGTTTCAGCTACTTTTTTTTATAAATAATAAGGTATACCGTATGGATTAATATCAGTAAACTTGTTTGATATACCTTAGTTGTTACACCTTAATTGGATTATATTGAATGATAATTGAGATAACTCAATATCATATAAATTTGCATGATAGACATTGAGAGAATATTTGTTTTTTGAAATTTATAATTAAGAAATTTTATTCTAAAAATGACATTCTTGTTCAAATAAAATTTACCAAATATGTATCAATGTATGAAAAACAGATAAAAACAAAATGATCAGATTTACTAAATTTTATTCAGAGTCAATTACTATATCTACAAAGACTACAATGTATGCACTATAAGATAATATAACATTTAAATAAACACATTTTCATCATATAATTCTATTTCCTATTTTATAAAAATAATAAGAAAATAAAAATGGTATCATATTTTATTCTAAATATTCAACTATCATTTTGTCATCTTCATTTTTTGTCTTTTTAATTCATTAATATAAATCTATTACAAAAACTTGCTGAAAATGCTTTAAAAAAATCAAGGTAGAATGAATTGTTTACCAATTATTTCAAATAAAATACTTAAATAGAAAAATACTCTTTTGTAAAAAAAAAAGTTAAAATATTAAAAATCATGTAAGTAAATAAAATTAAATGTTCTAACATTGAATTTTCTTTTATATAATACTATGTGTATATAATACAAAATATAAAAATCTATAATAATATAAAACATTTCGGACTAATCACTATGATTACTATAATACAATATGTACACTGTACACTTTCACTAGTTCAACCTTGCAAAATATTAAAATTGCTATATGTACATCTTAAAGTTTATAATAAAATCACAAATTTGTTACACAGAGCTATTAGTTACATACTTCTAAAGGTGCTAATTTAGTAATTAATAAACCAGTGTTTATAATGCTTTATTCAAAATTCTTTCACACTTCTAATGGTTCATAATTATCTGTTATATAAAAACATATTTTAATTCATCAATATTTTTTATGGTATTTAATTTTTGGATAACAAAAACTATGAAATAATATATACATGTTGACTTATACCAGAATAAAAGATTGTATTGTGCTTTTATTGATTTAAAACGCTGTTTTGATTCTATATACAGGAATGCACTTTGGTTTAAGATGTATTATGCTGGTTTAAATGGTAAATTATTAAGAATAATAAGAAGTAAGTACAGCTCTGTTAAATCTTGTGTTAAGTCCTGTGGTAACTATTCTGATTTTTTCGATATTTCGATTGGATTACGTCAAGGGGAGATAATTTCCCCAGTTATGTTTTCCTTGTTTATTGAAGATCTAGAACTCTATTTGCAAAATAACTTAAATTCTGGTATAGATCTTCAAGACATTTGCCTAATTTTACTTTTATTTGCTGATGATATGGTATTAATTGATTAAAATCCTCTAGATCTCCAAAATTCATTAAATAAGCTTCATGAATACTGTAATAAATGGGGATTCAGGGTTCGAATTTAAGCTGGCATACTGGCAAAATGCCAGTTAAAATCTAATAATGCCAGTAAAAATTACTCTAGCTCGCATTTATTTGCAAGTGACTGTTCATTTTGGACTTTTACATAATTTATATCTTCTGAGCTGATGATGATGCTTGGCAACTGCCTGCTGCAGAAACTGATGATGTTTACTGTACCAGATGCAGTAATTGATGAAGTTTACCTTAAAAACTTAAAAATTGATGGTTGCTCTATTTATTTTTTCTGTGACTATGTTTTAATGGACTATTTATAACAGCCAAACACGTTGTTTTATCAGGGTCCAATGTAAATGCGTAGCACTCCTCTGTAAAGTGTTTACTTATAAGCTGAAATATTTATTTAAGTAGATCAGTACCTCTGAGTTTTCAGGCTGTTGGTGTAATCAAGTACAAAATATGCTAAAATTAATGAAGGTCCTAAGAATTGTCATACCATAATGTATATTCAAAATACATTGTCATTGTGTATTATAATAATAAGATACATGATAATGGAAATGCCAGTTGACTACCTCATATTGCCAGTTAATCATTTGATCACTTGCAAAAGTTTGCAAGTAGAAATTATTGCTGAATTCTATCCCTGGGATTAGAAGTTAATGTTAACAAAACCAAAATCGTTGTTTTTCGTAAGAGGGGTGGTTTAAGAGCAGGAGCAAACTGGTTATATGGTCAAGATAATATAGAAATCGTAAATGATTTTAATTATCTAGGTGTCAAATTGAATTATACAGGAAATTTTAACTTAAATACTCAAACTTTGTATGGTAAAAGTTTAAAAGCCCTAAATAATTTAGTGGCAAATTTGAAAAAATATGAAACAAAACCAAAAATAGCCCTACAGTTGTTCGACTCTTTTATTGGTTCTATTTTAATGTATGCAAGTGAAGTATGGGGTTTTCACAAATCAAAAAAGTTAGAAAATATTCATTTGAAATTTTGTAAAACTATTCTTGGTGTTAGAAAATCTACTAGTAACGTAGCTGTGTATGGTGAACTTGGAAGATATCCGTTGTATATATACAGATATGTCCGAATTGTAAAATTTTGGTTTAAGATAATAAGTTCAAGTAATATTATTATAACTACAATTGTTAACTCATGTATGTCTGATATAAATATAGGGTATACAAACTGGTTTGCAAATGTACGAAGTCTTTTAGAAAAATACGGTTTTTTTTGATGTATGGTTTAAACCCTTTAAGCGTTAATCAAAATTGTTTTATTGTCGTTTTTAAACAGAGATTAATAGATGAATATTACAAGAATGGAGAGCTAGTATTAATTGTAATGATGTATTATTTTTATATAAATCAGTAAAGGACAGGTTTGAAATGTCACCTTATTTAGAAAATATTGTATCAAGAAAACTAAGAATAGCTTTGACAAAACTGCGTATTTCAGCTCATAATCTTAGAATACAGACAGGTAGATATTCACGTGAAAGAGTAGAGCGTAATTTAAGATATTGTTTAATTTGCAATACAAATGAAATTGAGGACGAGTTCCATTTTGTGTTTAAGTGTCCTGCATATGAAAATTTAAGAAATATATATATTAAGAATTATTATAGAAATAGACCAAGTATGTATAAGTTTACTCAATTATTAAAAAGTGATAAAAATAAAGAAACAATTATGCTTTGTAAATATATTAATGAAGCTTTCAAATTAAGATATCAGATTATTAATGCTTAGATATGTATTTCAACCTACTTTTATGTATACCTAACAGATCCAACTAATGAAAAGTTTTATTGTGTATACTACTGTGTATGTAATATCCATTATGCTTTAATATTTGTGTCATCTCTATTTTGTTTTGTCCATCCAATATAATTATTACGTTTACTTTCATGTCATTGTATTTTTCATGCCATTATATATGTATGCTTGTATATATGTTAATCACGAGAAACTTGTAGTTTAAGTGAAATAAACGTTCTTCTTCTTCTTCTTCTTCTTCTTATAGCTGAAAATTCTTTCAGAACTCATATTTATAATTATTTTCCCTGGGAAATTTAACTATATTTATGTCAAAAAAATCTTCTTTATATCATGAATGTAATTGTTTGCAAGTATGTGTTATATTATATATAATATTATAACCCATTATGGTATGATATAATATTATAACCCATTATGGTATGTATTTCATATATTTATCAAATTTAAAAAGTGGAGGTGAAAAGACCAGGGTTTTGAGGGTGAAACGTCTAGGGATGAAACATCCAGGAGGTGTAAAGTCCAAACACCAAAATATTAATGTAAAAACCTAAAGAGCTAACTTTCTTGCGATGTCCGTGACCATGGGCGCTGACATCTTGAATTCAGAACGAGGCAACGTTCATTTACACAACTTCCGCTTGATCACAGTTTCTGGTGTATGTTTAAAACTGCTTTTCTTTGTCTCTCTTAAATATTAAAAAGGTTTGAATTATTTCTTTTCATTTTAATAAGTTAGTGTATTGAATTATTCATCCAGGATCACGTAAATTTACTAAATGTTTCCGTTTGAAATTTAATGAACTGGAATATTTTTCGGATATGCAGTCGCTAGCCGACAGGGTTCAGAATCAGATTCAAGTTGTTTTTTTTGCCTGAAAAATTTTTGCTTGTACATTTCTACTAGCAATATCATTCATTTAACAAACAATTTCCAAAGGTGCAGTAGTATTTTATCATATTTGGTCGTTTTCATATCTAAAGTAAAGTAAAGTAATATGAAATTAGGCAAAGCCTATGAACTGGGAAGTCGTTAAAATATTAGTTTCATTCTTTCCGTTTTAAAGGTGTCATTCGGTATTAAATGCACCGCTTCTGTTTTCACTCGGAACACTCGACGTTTATTATTTATCCGAAAAGTTGAGATTTGTTCCGTTTTCGGAATACCCCGCCTATTAAGTATTATCATTGAGTTACATTGTAAATGGCGGCGCCCGACAAAAACTGACACTAAAAATTTCATCGATGGGTATAGAATTCTATATGTTTTTTAATTGTTTTTTATTTGATTTTCTTTTAAATATACACGTGTAGTCTATAGCCGGGCAAGCCAAAGCCCGGACCCGCTTCACGGGCCCGGTCTTTGACTTCCCCGTATAATATTAATTGATCTATTTTTTTTTTCATTACAAATTATTTTATACAATCACCATTATCATTATAATTGGTTTATACAGAATTTATTTTAGTTTGATTGTGCAGGAAGCTAATATGAAAAAGGCAAAGCCTCAAAGCGAGCTCCATTTCTTTTAGTTTTACCGTGAGATAGTTTAAAATGATCGTTCATTTTTTTTTTACATTTTCCGTTTTAAAATTGTCATTTTGTATTTTATACACTGCTTCCGTTTATTCTGGTTCCTCCTTTCTATGATGGTTCCTATATAAGTGCACAGGACACCAGTCTACGCTTCTGTTTTCAATCTGAGTACATCGGCTTTTATCGTTATATTGTTCTTCGAAAAGTTGCAATGTGTCTAATTCGGTACTTCGGACGAAAGTTTTCAAAACCATCACTTAGCAGGTACTCGCGTTACCGTAAAGCTCGCTTTGCGAGCAGGCCCTTCGGGCCAGCTAGTCAAGCTCGCCATTAGTTCATAAACACACTTTCTAATCCGTTCCCGGAACCAATCAGTACTGAGCAATGAGTGTAAAGTTTCTTGCTCAAGGAAACAATGACTTGCCCCAGTGTTAGGGTTTGAACCATGCGGATAACTAGTCCGAAGAGTTAACCACTTGACCATGCCGCCACTTATATTTATAAGTAACAGACAAGGTCTGTCTGTTTGAAAAATGTTACTTATTGACAGCAAAAGAATAAGACTTTAACAGTAATATAGATCAATCTATAGTATAGGCACGCTAACTGTTAGCGTTACACTATAGGGGTGTCAATGAAAAATGATTCTTTTGCACTTTAAACAATCTTTATTTTGGGTTTGTAATAAAGAGAATATTATTCGGTTCATTACTAAATTACAGTCTGCACGAAAAACTTTTTATGGTCAGAGACATTCGGGCTTAGTCCGTCAAATTATCATATAGCCCGAATCAATTTTAACTAGCCTGAAAATTCTAAAAAAAGTTGTGGCCAGGTTTTTCAAATTTACTTAAATCGGGAGAAAAATATGCAAAGTGATATCACTTTATTAACATTTATTTCTGATATTCTTAGACAGGACTTACAGTAGACGGAAACTCAAGGGTCAAATGATTTCATTTAGCTAATGGCTTTCAATACCTTGAAAAAAAATTAACATTTTCCTCAGTCATTTCGTATTTTCAGCTCGACTATTCGATAAGAATAAGTGACTTTAAGTCACCACTGATGTTAAAGTTTTTGTAATACCTCAAATATTTTCAAAGTCCATTGACATATTAAATGGCTTTGAAACTTTGCACACTTGTTCACCATCATGACCCCAACCTGTAGACAGGAGGAGGTAACTCTATCAAGCCTTTTGACAGAATTATGCCCCTTTTTCGACTTAGGATTTACGTTTAAGTTTTTGTAATACCTCAAATATTTTCAAAGTTCATAAGGCTTTGAATCATGTTGAAATTTTATACTCTTCTTTGACAGCATAATAGGACTCTCTCCAATGCCTATAACTGTAATAGTGATTTAATAAAATTTTTGCCTTTTTTTTTACTGAGAAAATTTAACCTTTTAATCAAGGCTTTTTTTACTATCAAGCACTAAGAATAGTCGAGCGTTGCTGTCCTACCGACAGCTCTTCTTTTTAGATCTCAAAATATTGCTAGTCTTTGGGACTACGATCCCTACATCTGATGCAAGCTCAAATGAAATTTTACTAGACTGGGGCTTGGGCTTTGCCTATTTTTCACAGACTGAAATTAATTAAAATATAATTTATTGAACTTGTTGAATAAAATAATATTAATATCATGTTCACCATAGGCCAGCATAATATAATTTTATTCAACTCGTTCATTAAATTTAGTATTTAACCTACACACATTGGATATCTTCTATATATTATATGTTTAAAGAAAATGTTATATTTGATAGGTTGATTGCATCAAAATGGCTCGTGGTCATCAGAAAATTCAATCACAACAGAAGAACAAGGAGAAGCAGGAGAAGATGAAGAAGTCTCAGAGCCATGATCAAAAGAAAGCAGCACAAGCCGGTCTGAAATTTGTCTGCACAGCATGCAAGGTACTGACCACCTTTTATATGTTATAGTTATACATGATGTATAATGTGACTGTCATGTATTCTTGTTTTAATGTTGGTATTTAGACATAGTCACATTAATGTTATATTTTGAGAAATGTTTTTTTTTATTCTTCTCTATAATTTAAATTTTGTTACTATTTTAATTACAGTCAAGACTGTCAAATGTGACTTTCCAAGAGACCTTCATAAAAAGTTCACATATGACATGGAGTCTCTTATTACAGTGTCCTAGAAAATTAAAATTTAAATTTGTCTGTCTTTATACCATTGTGACTTAACATACATAAATGTGTGAAGGAATAATATCTTACAAATTGCAAATAAAATTATAAATATAGGTAGATCTACTTTAAATATTTGATGTAAATAAATGAGAATCTCAGTTAAACATATATAATTGCATGTGTATCATATGAAATTGATATAAAATTACATTTTTGTTTTTTGTATTAGATTTGTATTGAATCATTATAAAGGGTATAAAATAAACTTGATTTTGATGCATTCAAATCCTTAAAATAAAAAGCAAACATATCCATATCCAAAGGTTTTTCTAGTCTGATATCAATATTTTTCCGTAGTATTCATGCAGCCATAGAAAGTTAAAAAAAATGCTGCCTAAAAAATCTTCTGTTGGCACTTCATAATTTAAAAAAAAAATCTGACACAAGTCTTAATCCAGTTTACTATGGTCATTATGTACATTACACACACATCAATTGCATCATGCTTACCATATTTGGCAGTAGGGAGTAGAATGGAAACAGGAATGTAATAATAATAATCAATAATATTAAGGGAAACTAAGAGAAAATCTTCTTTTTTTTTTGCTGCCTTGGTTGTGCTAATATCAACCAATGAAAATGTAAATTAAAAACCAACATACTTCCAATGCAGCCTTTAAAAGTTTAAGTTTTTTTCTTGAATCAATTGTTGATTGCTTATGTAAAAGTACGAAGGATTTTACTTTTTTAGCAAGACATTACGTCATTGATTATTAAATATATTTACCTTTTTTTTGCCAGTCACAAATGCCAGACCCTAAGACTTATAAGCAGCACTTTGAAAATAAACACCCCAAACTAGATTTACCAGATGAGTTGAAGGAAATATAAATTAGGTAAGTAAAATTATAAAGAGTTATTAATTCATTAGTTTGTATGTATTTGATGCCAATTTAACACATTTTTTGACATATCTAAGTGGTTAGTCTACCTATAAACCATCTTTTCTGTATAACTAACCAGAAAATGGTCTACTAAAGTTGTGTATCACTGCTGAAAATGTATCACAATATTATCACAATATTACATGTATCATTTGTATCAATTAGTCATTACAGTTACATAAGAGATAAATATTTGGAGTAGACAAAATAAATGCAGTTTGTAATGTTCACATCATTCTAAATCTAAGTACAGTAGTTGTGTTTTATATATGTTTATTCTGTTACACTTTTATAACTCTTCATTCAATATAACAAACACCACTTGATCCTGACTGCTATGGGTTCGAATCCTGACAGGGACTTTGGATTCTTTCATGTGAGGAAGCTATCCAGCTACCTTATAAAATGTGGTTGTTCTACTTGTGTGTCTGTTTGTGTCTGAAATAATGCCTGGAAGGCACCTGAGGTCTGTCTCCATCAGTAATGCTGGAATGTCACAATATGACCTATACTGTGTCGATGGGACATAAAACACAATCAAACAAATTATAACTTTAAATCTACAAATGAAGAATTGTTATAGCCTTTCCTCAGGCTTCATATATTTGATTAAGTAATTAAAAAAAATAAGCATGAAATTACAGAAACTATGAGTAATGACAGTTAAACAAATGAATAGCAGAGAATATTTCTACATGTTACCATAGCACTGTACATTGTATAAGTATGGCAAAAATCAGGATTTATGGTTGTATTAATGATAGCGGGTCATTGCTATCTACAACTTATATTTATTTCTCCTGTAAGAGACAAAATGACCATTATACAAGGATCAGACCAGTCACTTTTTAATTACAAATACTACGCTCTCCCTAGTATTGAGCCAAGCAGGCTCAAAGGTCAGTTAGATCCTAATTCATAAATTCCTTAATAAAATTATACATGTATATTAAAAAGCTATTTTTCTTTTCTTCTGCATTTCAGAACACTGGAACAATGTATATAACTAACAGTACTTCATTGGGAACCATGATCTTTCAGTGATGGGGGGAAATTGTTTGCAAGACCAACTGCCATTCTTGTGAAGATATTAAAAAAATATCGTACCTGACTTTTCCATTTGCCTTTATTCCTTCACGCTCTCTGTACATTCTCTATTTTCGTTGTGAAATAAAATCAAGTTTTATCATAGACTTTGTGATGCCTTGTTTGAACATTGTAGTATTTTTATGATGTACTTGGTATGTAGACTGTAGTGAATATGTATGTCTTTTGTAAAGTAATGTATTGAAAAGTCAATGTTGCCTTGTTCAGTACTGGAGACAAGAGAGATAAGAAAATTATATGTAAATGTTGTATATGTTGGTTTGGGCATTTAATACAGATTCTTGGGTCAATATGATTAGAGCTATAAAAACATTCCATATGTTATCCAAAAAAGAGAAGACAAAAGTAGATTTTTACAAGTTTTAAAAGAATAGACATATTTTTTTTTAATCTAATTAAACATTGCTTTATTTGGTCTGCTGAATTTTTCGGGTTTTTTACACAAATTTTTTACTATTTAATATTTAGTTTTACTGCTGCAAATCTATAAGTTCAAATTATGGGTCTTTTGTTAATAATACTGATGTTACATATTTCATTTGGAATAATAATTGATACAACAGTTTTGCATTCAGGTCTTGAAAAGGTTTAATACTCGAGGTGTTTTTTTTTCCTTCAAAAATAACAGACAATATTATATCATGCCACAGACCGTCTTTTTTATATTGTGTCATTTTGTACTAAATTAAATTGTAATATTAAATGTTATGAAGTTAGGTATTGTTTTGTTGGTTACAATATTCCATGCTATCACCATGAACACTTACATGGGTTCAAATCCTAGAACAGTCATTTGAGAGATCTAATGTGCAAGTTTACAGAAAGTTTGTGGTCCTGCCCTGTTGCTACATATATTTATATACATATGAGCTGCGTCGCGACTAAACCAACATATTAGGTTTGCAACCAGCATGGATCCAGACCAGCCTGCGCATCCTCCATTGTAGTTTCTATACTTGTAATAGAGTTGGTAAGCGTACAGCATGTATCCTGAACAGACTGCGCGGATGCGCAGGCTAGTCTGGATCCATGCTGGTCGCAAACGCACTATGTTGATTTTGTCATGACGCGGCTCATATATATCTGATATGATATAGGAAAGCACTGATCAGCTCTATGGTTTAGTTGTTACAGTCCCCCTGTTTGAACCACTGACCCCCTCACAGCTGACGGTTACAATTTCACCAGGGTTTTTTTTCACACCAGGAAGCGAAACAGTCAGTCAATTGCTCTACTCCAGGGCCTGAATTAAAAATAGAGGGGCACCTGGGTTCTTCCTCTACCTGGAAAGTGACCCTATGACCATAAAAATGATAAACCATGATCAGTTTTAGATGATTGATAAACTGTGGTCCATTGTAGATAACTGCTAAACTATGATCAATTTTAGATAATTTCTAAACTATTACCAATTTAGATGAAAGTCTCCTTTACTGTCTCTGTATCGTTTAAAACTTCATAAATTTTAACAAGCTTATTTATATCACATAAGAATGTCAGTTAATTAATGAAGTTAGACATCTTTTTTCCAAAAGCATTGCAAATATCCAGTTTTAACTGGAGGAATTACATAGAAAGTAATAGCCCTTCAATGACACAATGAAATTTAAATTATTTATGAAAAGTTTTATTTTTTTGTACAATGCCAGACAATAGCCGAGTTCAACAGAAACAATTTCAGAGGAAATCATACTCACTTGATGAAACAATACTGAAATATTTTAGATTAGCTTGATCAATTGATGTTTACTGTTTTGACACTTTAATTTACATCTGTATTGGGGAAAAAACACTTAAAATATTATGAATCATCAACTTTTTACTTGTTTAAAGTCCATATTTTTAGAAGTTTTATTGTGACTGAATTGAAATAAACTTCATACTGTTGAAATTAAGTTGTAGGGAATAATAAACGCAAAACTCTTCATATACATAAATAATAAGATCATTTGTTCTTTCTTTGTTGTACTCATAATTTTACATGTACTGTTGTAAATTATTGTCAATTAGACCTATTCAAACAGTTGTACAGTAATTAACGTCATGTATTAGTTTAACGCTCCAGTGAGCAACTGATATTGCTTGAATATCCAATCTGAAGATGTGATGTTATTTCTGGTTTATATAATGATATAAAACTTTCAAGCATATATTCATAATTTATGGGCATAATTTAACAAGCCATTCATAATTGTCATAAATTTATATGATGGCTACATGTACATATATTACATCAAATTGTTTTAAATGTTGGAACATCATATAATAGACTCTATAGATATAGGCATACAATGTATATACAAATATAAAGAAATTGTAAAACTGTTTAAATTTAATTTCGTTGGTTTTTTTTTTTATCAATTTGATACACTAATACATTTTTTTGGACTTAAGATCTTTTGATTTTCACAACTTAAGATTTTGATTTTTATCAAAATTATCGCAAATCATAAATAAATAATCTACCATTGTCAATATGAACTCACAAAATTGGTTGTTTCCCACTGTTTAATGTCTGAAATATTTTATGACATAAAATTTGGCTGCATGGGCTGTACTACCATATGAGCCGCGCCATGACAAAACCAACATAGTGGGTTTGCGACCAGCATGGATCCAGACCAGCCTGCCCCTCCGCGCAGTCTGATCAGGATCCATGCTGTTTGCTATCAGTTTCTCTACTTGTAATAGGGTTTGTAAGCAAACAGCATGGATCCTGATCAGACTGCGCAGATGCGCAGGCTGGTCTGGATCCATGCTGGTCGCAAACCCATTATGTTGGTTTTGTTGTGACGCGGCTCATATATTATCCTAGAAATACACTCTCTACTACAATCTTAATGTATGATGTAAATTTTAAAGCAGCACATCTCCAGATTCATGCTAATTTTCATGAACATTCATTTTGAATACACATAAAAAAGTAAAATATTGTGAAGTGAACAAAGAAAAATAATTTTCTCATTGCAAACAGCACTAACAACCCTGGTGATGTAAATTACCAAAAAGTAGGGCAAAATTAGCCCTTACTGCATTAGTAATACAGTAGAATTATATGGTGAAAAATACTGCCACTACTTAGTGATTTGAATAAGTGAGATATACCAAAATGTGTCCTATTCCTATTTCAAGGTCACCATGACCCAGGCCACTGTAAGAGGTCAATTATGTCACAGTCACAGTGACACATGAAGTACTTTTTTTAATCAAGAACAAAAAGTTTTGTCTGTTATAGGTTAATGCAACTTATCAGTTATAAAACTGTCATGTATGTCTCTTTGACTTTTATAAAATACAAATAATAATGTAAATAGCCACTTTGAATGGGGTAATAATAATAATCACTTTACACAGTTCTCCCAGATTATTTTAAATTATATCAGGGCTGTACAGAAAGCAAAATTTTATTATGTGGTAACTGTCAATTCTAAGGAAAAGTAAATAATATAATACTAGTACAATGAATTTCATTTCAGTGTTTCTTACATTTTTATACGCCCGTTTGAAAAACGGGACGTATTATGGGAACGCCCCTGGCGGGCGGGCGGGCGGTCGGGCGGCCGGGCGGGCGGCGTCCAATTTTGTCCGGAGCATATCTCCTACATGTATGGAGGGATTTTAATGAAACTTCATATAAATGTTCACCACTATGAGGAGCAGTGTCGCGCACATGAACCAGGTCTCTAGGTCAAAGGTCAAGGTCACACTTAGAGCTCATTGAAAAATGCTTGTCCGGAGTAAAACTTCCACATGTATAGAGGGATTTCAATATTACTTGTGAGGCGGAGTGTCGCGTGCAAGATTCAGGTGCTTGCGGCCAAGGTCAAGGTCACACATAGAGGTCAAAGTTCAGATAAAAATATGAAGATGTGTATATGGACCATTTAGTCATCATTTATTGAGGGATTGTAACACAAATGGTCATTATCAAGACTATGGCTGTGATACATATAATTTAGGTCAATATATACAAGGTCAAGGTCACTAAAGATGATGAAATATCCAGATTTTGTAAATAGAATTTAATCAAAGGGAGACAACAAAGTTATTACTTTGTTCATAAATGACTTACACAATTACTCCCCTTGATCTGTTTTCACTTTCAATTCTAAAAATAGAATTTAATCAAAGGGCATGAAATAATCCTCTTTCTTGGACTTGAGTATGTTCTAAAGAATGTAACATTTATTTACACATGTTTCATTCATTGGTCAAGATTCTTAACTGTGATAACTATGGTGTTCTGTAGACTTGGTATTTGTTCATAAAGATCATACAGTAATTACCTTATCAAATGTAAATACTTTCTCATAGAAATTTAATTATATTTTAATTTTCAAGTAAATATCAGTTCAGCTCATTCAAAGATTAAGAATTGTAATGAAATGTATTTCCCTAGAATAAAATCTTAAATCAGAATTTTTTAGTTATTAAATTACATGTACTTTTTATACGCCCGTTTAAAAAAAGATAAAAATATGAAGATGTGTATAGGGACGATTTAATCATCATTTATTGAGGGATTGTAACACAAATGGTCATTATAATGACTACGGCTGTGACACGTGTACTTTAGGTCAATATATGCAAGGTCAAGGTCACTAAAGATGGTGAAATATCCAGATTTTGTCTGGAGCATATCTCCTACATGTATGGAAGAATTTTTAAAATACTTTATGGAAATGTTCACCACCATGATATGTATTGCTCCATGCATGATCCAGGTCTCCAGGTCAAAGGTCAAGGTCACACTTAGAGCTCATTGAAAAACGCTTGTCCGGAGCAAAACTTCTACATTCATAGGGGGTTTTCAATATAACTTGGCAAAAATGTTCACCATTGTGAGGCTGAGTGTCGCATGCAAAATTCAGATCCCTGCGACCAAAGTCAAGGTTACACATAGAGGTCAAAGTTCAGATAAAAATTTGAAGATGGTTATAGGGACCATTTAGTCATCATTTATTGATGGATTGTAGCACAAATGGTAACTATCATGACTACAGGTGTTACACATTTAATTTAGGTTAATATTTGCAAGGTCAAGGTCACTGGAGATGATTAAATATCCAGATGTTGTCCGGAGC